TCATTGTCACCAAAGAAACAAATTTTCTTAATAAATAAAGTTCGATAAATGGTGTTTATACTCTTATTTCACCGTTATCATAAATAATACATTGTACTCCCATGTATACAGATATACCCGAGCATATATACATATGCATACACACACACCTGGACGCACATGATAAGGTGCCTTGTGCAAATAAGTAGTTTGTTACATGGTGCATCTATAGTTCTTACCTCCAAGGTCCTGTACATGTCTGAATGGGAGAGTTAATGGTTACACATTACCATTACACACGCACACACACAAAATCCGTAAGATACGCCTAGTGGTGACTCTCTGTAAACAATTACATAGAATAAAAAATGTATAAACAAATGGACTATAAAATAAATAGAAAAGTAACAAGTGCAGTATAGTTAGAAATGATAAGACAGTTAAACGCACTTAAGGTGCTGTCACACTAGCACTTTTTCCGTCAATCTTTTGACAATTATCAGATTTTTTTCTCCATTTTTTAGCGAATTGTCGATTTTCCAGTCAGACGATAATGGTCGCTTCCGTCTGAAAACCTTTCCGTCAACTTTCTCAGCCAAGCGCAGTCAAATCAAGAGCTATATTCGAGAATGTTTGTATTTTGTTAAATAAAATTGTCAAAAAAACGGAAAAAGTGCTAGTGTGACAGCGCCTTTACTTAATGTCCTCATTCTAAACAGGGTGCTTCGTCCTACCTCTTTTACCCCATAACCACAGATTAATATAAGAATCCCAAACCCCCAACACTAAACATGTGATTAAATGTTTTGGGTTCAAAATTCGACACAGATATATATATAGATAAGTGACAATCACTCTACAAGGTCAATGTTGGATTCTTACTTGAAAGAATACAAAATTTTACTCCCTATCGAGAAACAAACAGAAATTAATCATGCTTACATCAGATCTTATTTCATTTAAATATTTCTGCACACAGTAATCTACAGATTATCAAAAAACAAAAAATCTTTACAGTTAAGATTTTACTCTTCGTCTTTACACCCAGCACCGTATCCCCATTATCACGAATTCGTAACGTGGTTCATGAGGGTTCTGAAGGCAACCTCCACCAGGCCTTGATTTCCTCTTCAGCGAAAATCATTCACCTGAGGAATATTTTGTATCTGCCTCTGCGACTGAGGCCAAAAATCGTGCATTTTCACAAATAGTTTCTGTGAAGTATTCACTCTAAGATGCAAATCTGCTGAAAAGTCTAGGAGAACTTTCTTCCCTCTATAAAAAAAAAAAAAAAAAAGGAGGAAAGAAAGAAAAATTCCACATCTGTGAAATCGTTGGCAATAACGTATTTGGAAACATCCTTTTTTTTAATGTTAACTTCATAGATCTTTTTTTGAGACCAAGAGAAGTTGCAATGACGTATTTAGAAACTTTTTCTCTCTTTTTTAAGTATAATTTATAGATCTTTTTACTGAAGACCAAATAAAATTTTGGCAATAACGTATTTAAACTTATCTTTTTTTTAAGTATAACTTTATAGATCGCTCACTGAAGACCAAGAGAATTTTGGCATTAACGTATTTGGAAACATCTTTAAGTATACTTTATAGATCTCTTACTGAAGACCAAGAGAATTTTGGCAATAACGTATTTGGAAACAATTTTTAAGTATAACTTTATAGATCTCTTACTGAAGACCAAGAGAAATTTAGCAATAACGCATTTGGAAATCTTTTTTTAAGTATAACTTTATAGATTCTTACTGAAGACCAAGAGAATTTTGGCAATAACGTATTTGGAAACTTATCTTTTTTTAGTATAAGTTTATAGATCTCTTACTGAAGACCAGAGAATTTTTGGCAATAACGTATTTGGAAACTTATCTTTTTTTAGTATTACTTTTATAGATCTCTTACTGAAGACCAAGAAAATTTTGCCAATAACGTATTTGGAAATCTTTAAGTATAACTACATAGATCTCTTACTGAAGACCAAGAGAATTTTGGCAATAACGTATTTGGAAAATTATTTTTTTAAGTAACTTTATAGATCTCTTACTGAAGACAAGAGAATTTGCAATAACGTATTTGGAAACATCTTTTTTAAGTATAAGTTTATAGATCTCTTACTGAAGACAAGAGATTTTGGCAATAACGTATTTGGAAACTTATCTTTTTTTAAGATAACTTTTATATCTCTTACTGAAGACCAAGAGAATTTTGGCAATAATGTATTTGGAATTTATCTCTTTTAAGTATTTTGGCAATAACGTATTTGAAACTTATCTTTTTTTAAGTATACTTTATAGATCTCTTACTGAAGACCAAGAGAATTTTGGCAATAACGTATTTAGAAACTTTATCTTTTCTTATGTATAACTTTATAGATCTCTCAGTGAAGACCAAGAGGATTTTGGCAATAACGTATTTGGAAACTTTTTTAAGTATAATTTTATAGATCTCTTACTGAAGACCAAGAGAATTTTGGCAATAACGTATTTCGAAACTTTTATTATGTATAA